TGACCACTTAACTCACTACAACTAATAACAAGTTTTGTGACATCTTTTAACGTGGCACGTGACAACATTGTACTTGCTTGCAGTTGTAGCAAGTTTTACAACGTGGCATTTTGGCAAAATTACTGACTTTCGTGCCATTCAGGCATTTTTTGTTCAAAAAAGTGGCACAGTGATCAATGATCCCACAAAATAGGGACTTCACCATTTCTACTTTGAGGAAGAAATCCATGATAGGTCATCGAGGGTCTAAGAACGGAATCAGATTAGCAAAGGTTGATTTATCGAAGCGAAGCAACGGTGGAAAGAGGAGGAAAACCACCAAGAATACAGCTCGAAAGGATGCATCTTGTTCTTTCAAAGGTCACATTACTTCTGTTAATCCTTGAAATCTATTAAGTATGACCTATTATTGGAGGCCTGAATCATCCCATCGTGTGTGGCCTGAGTCCGTGAATAGGCTCTGCAACTAGTCACATGGGCTGCCAACACCGTCCTAACCCGCATCCCTCCTTCCCACGACGCAGGATGTCAATAGACAACTAGGGCTCATCATAAAGCTAGGTTGGGGTGCTTGTGGACCTGGCTCCTCCACCCGAGATGTCTTTCTAAAAATCGCTATAATGCAACCAATCTTTTCGTGGACCCACTCCAAATTGTAGCTCGGTAAGTGCTCAGGAGTGGTCGCGAAGTACAACATTTCCAGGACATCAATCTTATACTCAGTACATAAATAAAGAAACCAAACAAAAAGTGAAAATAAAAAACACATAATAATAATAATAACTACAATAATAAACATAAATAACTTACAATGCGTCCAAGTTTCGCAGCCCTCTTCGTCACGTATCGCTTGTCTCTTTGCCTGTACCACTCAATGTACTCATGGTTGGGTGACGTGAGGCCCTCCATTAGAGGGGGAACCTCTATGTGTTGCTCCCTAATCACCCATCTATTTGTAAATATCCTCAACAGACTAACCCGATTATCATATTTTTTACCTGGAAGAGTATGATCGTGGACGCCTCTTAGCTTTCTAGGCCTATATGGTATCAGCAGCTGATCCAAACTAAACTGCTGCATGCATCTATCTAGCTAGAAACATTCAACTGTGTGAAAACAAATAATTGGTGTCCTGGCCAGCCATAAATATCGCTCACAATCAGATGCATCTAAGAAATGGTAGTCTCTATATGGTTGCCAAACCACGTACACAAAAAAATAAACATACACTCATTATTCACCACTGTATGTAACCACTTTTTGAAATTTTAAAAATATAGAACATACTTCATCTCTGCATAGTGTCTAAGGTTGCCCAATACCACAGAATCTCATGAGCTCTGAAGTAGCCTAAAACATTAAACCTAATTTCCAAATTTAACATAAACATTAATTATAATACTCATTAAAATATAATGAATCAGGAAATACAAAAGACACATACTGGTGTCCAAAGTGCCACTCCAGGTGAGTAGGAATAGGAAGAGGGGAGCAATGAGTGGGAATCTGAGTCATGCCCAGATCTGAAGCAGAATGTGGCACCCATCAATGTCTAATCTACCCGGGTGTGTACAGTCGCACATCTATCTAAACAAATGTGCGAGAACTGCAGACCCCCAGTTATATCTACCAATCTCCTCAAAAGTCTTCTGTGTGCAATGGCATGTAGCGACATGCAATAGTGCTATTCCTCGATCTGTCGCAGAGGAGTCATGCCCCTAATATACGCACAATGTGCGCCTTAGTGTAAAAAACCACTGCTCCGGATGCGCAACAACTGGACCCCAATGTGCATGCAATCTATCAAAGTACGAAAGGCATAGATTGCCAGCAGGGAGCTTAGTGGCCTTGTCTAACTCATGACCAAAAAAATCGTTACACACGACCGGTCAATCACCAGAAGTAGGTTTGATAACCACTTGTCGATTAGTAGGCAATCCCAGGATAGCCGCCACGTCCTGCAAGGTAATGGTCATGTCGCCCAGGGTCATATGAAAAGTGTGTGTCTCTGATCTCCACTTCTCGACCAGAGCACTGATAAAGGCGAGATCAATCAGAAATACATGCAGATAATTATCAATTCATAGGTTCAAATACACTAATTTACAAAGACTATATTTAAACACAATATAATATATTACATTATTAAGTGCATACTTAAACATATCGTATGCGTACAACATGTATGAATTCGGCCTGTGTAAGGTACTCTCTCGCCATGTCTGGAATATCATAAGTAGATGGTCCCCCTTGTAGTTTACTGTAAGAACGTGCACCGTTAATTAAGGAAGTTAATTAATTAATTATGAGAAATTAAGAAATAATTCCATAATTGACTCTAATAATTATTATAAAGCTTAAGTAATTATGGTAAGTGTTTTATAAGGCTGAAAGTCGCTTTTCTGACGAAAAGTGCAGATACTAGTTCTGCTACTCGGTATAAATGCGTACCAATGAAGTATCTCGAAAAATTAAAATAAGTACATGAATATTCCTAGAATAATATGTAGGACTGTGATTTCAAGTTTCAAGTTAAAATAATGAGAACTGGTGCCAGAACTGATACAAAACGGTGTGATTTTTGTATTAAAAACAACATAAAACAGAGAGAAAAAAATAACATGGAAACTAAAATCCTCAAGCCAATTTTCGTTTTACATTAATGAAACAATATCAATTTAAAGAAAGATTAAAACTTTCATAATATGAACCCTATATTTCGTAACAATACATTCATGAACGAAATTTGTTCACTATAGGAAACGATTTCAAACAATTTTTGTGTCAATAGATAACTAAAAAATTATTTTACAAAAGCCGCAAAGCAATTTAAGGTTTCAATGTATTGATTGAAAAAATTTGAATTTTTTTCTAAACTTTCATGTAATAAAACCAAAAAATTTCTTATACAAAAAAAACCCAGTTTTTTAGATTCAAAATTTTCTTAGAATATTCAATGAAAATATGCATTTGATATATGGTTAGAAAATTCACATCACGTAGAATAAAAATCTCAAGATTTTCAAGATCAATGACAAATTTAAAAAATTCCAAACAAAATTTTATCATAAACTTTAAATTCTATATGCAAATTTAGAATTATTTTAATAATTACAAAAAATTGGTGGTAAGTATAATATATATATATATATATATATATATATATATATTCAAAAGTTAAGAAAAATTAAGTAATTAACCATACATAAAAAAGTAAAAAGAAAAGGTAAAGATGTGATGGAAGAGGAACACTGAATAGTAGTATTTCTACGGCGCTCCAATGCAATGGGTTAAGCGCTAAAATATTCAAAATTCTACCTTGTAATCGTTTATAGATCACAAAACCTTTATTTCTCTCTATCTCTATACTGAAGATGAATCGCAAGAAATCTATACTTTCATTCTTCGAGAAAACCACGCCGGAAAACCGTAGTTCCGGCGGCCGGCGAGCTCCTGCTCCGTCGGTTCAGCAAGCTAACTCGGCCACCTTCAATCAACCGCCGTCGTCGGCCGATGACGTCAGAGGAACCGACACGCCGCCGGAGAAGGTGCCACGTCAGCTTTTACCGGCGAGCTTCGCGCAGAATAAAAGCAACAAAAACAATTGTTGATGATATTGTTCAATCTTTTTTTTTTTTTTTTGAAAACCGATATTGTTCAATCTTAATATTAAATGTTAACTTCAAATTTTAAGCGAACGGATTAGGCTTACTTTTTTTATAATCTCAAATCTTTAAAGCTGTTATAGATAAACGTTTACTGTACATGAAAAGTATTTGAAATGATAAGTGTATCGTATTTTAAAATATTAGTGTTTTGTATTGTACATAATGCTCTACTTGTTCCTTTTTTATTTTTTATCAACGATTGTTGTATAAAAATTATAAAAAAAAATTAAATAACCTTATTATAGGTAAAAATAATTATATTTGATTGAAACAACTTTATTTATATATAAAAAGAGAAAAATTATATTTATTATCTTTTTTTTCTTATTATTTCTTAGTAATAAATATTAATCGTTGATTTTCGTGAATCTCACGGTTATAATTTATTCGGCCACACTTATTAATTAATTAATAAGTGTGACCCAATAAATTATAACTGCGAGATTTATGAAAATTAACGGTTAAAATTTATTAGTAAGAAATAATAAGAAAAAAAGATACTAGGTATAACCTTTTCAAAATTGACTTATCATTGAGTGATTGTGTAAAAACACTGATAACGCATGGGGGCTGGGGCCATGGGAAAGTATAAATCTATATTTTGTTTTGGGTAGTTATCTATAAATTGAGATAAAGATGTATCAGAAAACTTTTACATTTAGAACTTCAACTGTTACTCTGTTATATTATATTCTAGAAACATGTGACATAGAATATACTATGAATTTGACTACAAAGCTAGAATTCCTATAACCATAAGATATATATCATCAAAATAGATGTTAAAAAGAGTTATCCATGGAAAAAAGAATAAAACATAGAATAGGACTCTCAGGCATGAACAAGTATTATCTATAATTTGTACTGTTTAAATTTAAAACTTCAAACTATACTCTGTTTTATCCAATAAACACGTGACACAGAATAATATGTATATTTGAAGATAAAGCTAAAATCCATGCAACCATAACATACAGATGAGCGAAACAGATGTTAAAAGGAGATATCTGAGAAGAAGTATAAAACAAAAATTAGGACTCTCATGCATGAACAAGTATTATCTATACTTTGTTTTGGATAATTATATATAAATCGAGATAAATTCAAAATGTTTAAATTCAAAGCTTCAAAATTTACACTCTGAACGGATTAGACTCACACGGTTGTTAATATTCTGAAATCTATAAAACCCTTCATTGGTTCTTGCTTTTCTCCCCTGTCTTCCCCTGATTTCGTAATTGTTTCTTGCAGTTCCGATTGCCCTAACACCTGTGTTTAGCTGCTTTCGTTTCTTACATTCCCCATCCATCTGTTAAACCTATCAAATTTAACATGGAAGATCAGTGGCTTACCCTTTCACTCTCCACAGTTCCAATGCCACAGCCGCATCAGCCATCACCATCACAGCCACCCGCAACAACACTCCTTCCCCGTTTTCAATATCCACCATTAGAAGCACCTATGCATCAATTCTCATCACCCCAAGAACCCCTTCAAGAAATACAGTTTTTCCCGCCACCAGAGCCTTTGTCTTTCCATGTCCACGAGGGGCAAGAGCTAAGCCTATTCGCAAACTTTGATCTTCCACGACAAGAAAATCAAGATCAAGAAGCTATTCCCTCGTCTCACCAAGGACGTAAGCGTAAGCTACCGGTTAGGGGCACGAAGAATGGCAAGAGTGAGACAATAACACCACCATACCCTTGGGCTACTTCAAAACGCGCCACCGTTTATAGCATTGAACAATTGTTATCGCATGGCATGACAACAATAAGTGGAACAGTTCAATGCAAGCGATGCGAGGAACAATACGACATTGGATTTGATTTGCAAGAAAAGTTCGATGAGGTTGGTAATTTCACTGCAGAGAACAAGGACAACATGAGGGATAGGGCACCAGATAGGTGGATGAATCCTGTGCTCCCAACGTGTGAGAGGTGTGGCCAAGAAAATAGCTTGAAGCCTCTGATTACGAAGAAGAAGAAGACAAACAACTGGCTCTTCTTGTTTTTGGGACAGATGCTTGGATGCTGCAAGCTTTCACATTTGAAGTATTTCTGCAAGCACACCAAGAATCACAGAACTGGAGCCAAAGATCGAGTGCTTTATCTCACTTATCTGGGTTTGTGCAAACAACTAAATCCAAAGGGACCCTTCCACCCCTAGATCCATTACTATTATTTATAATTCAAGCCTTTTGATTACGGTCTTTTTCTCCATTTTTTTTTCCCCAACCGGGTTCATCTAAAATTCAACTTGCTTATCTAGATACTGTAGGATCTTTTGAGTACCAATAAGAGAATCAGGCTACTTAATCACAACTCTATTCCCATGCTCGTTTTGGGTTTTGACATATATTTTATTATTTCGTATCTAAGCTGCTTTATTTGGATATTTTGTTATTAGACTCCTAAGTTTTAAAACTTAATATTTGATGTATGTAATATGTGCTTCAAATTTTTATTGTTAATGCGCATATAATTTTTTGGCGGCTAGGAAAACCCATGGTGTAAAAACTATTTTTAGGACCCGTTTGGATGAACTTTTTTTTCTCTAGAAGTTGCTTTTTTGTTGAAAAAAAACACTTTTTCATTTTTAGTTCGTTTGGATGTCTGCTTTTAAAAAAAGCAGAAGTCACAAAAAAAGTCAAAAACCTACTTTTTTCTGAAGCTAAAAATTTTAACTTCTAAAAAAAACAGAATTCAAAAGTCAAATATTTTTTTCAAAATCTAAATATTTTTATAAAAATATAAATAGCTTTAACTTTTGTAAAAAAGACTTCTAAAATAAGAAAGAGATAAAAGTTACTTTTTTAAAAAGTCAAAACAAACGGGCTCTTATTAGGCTAATTTATGGATCTTTCGAAACTTTACCACTCACACTTTTAAGTATTTATAGGGTTAGGAACGAAGACTTGACAACGTTTATCAAGTCCTTAGCTATATAACATAAGCATTAAGCTAGGGGAGACAACAAACCCAAATGCATCAATGACCATATCTAAATGCTTGACCCAACCAATCAAAATCATTATCTCTAATACCACTATTAGGTGATCAATTCACTTATTAGAGATAATGATTTTGATTGGTACATTGATGCTAGTACCAATCAAAATCATTATCTCTAATAAGTGAATTGATCACCTAATGGAATGCTTGACCCATGGCCGAAAGACTAGCATCAATGTTCTGATCAATTCCATCATAATAAGTGATTTTAATGCTACTTCTAAATTCAAAATCTTAAAACGTAGAATTCATGATATATTCCATTTATATGATTCCCATTTCTCACTTGATCCATTCATATCTAATATGAGATTTTGTCAGTTAGATTTGAGTTTTAAACATTATTCTTCCTTTCGCGTGTGACTAGCTCAAATCATTCAATTTGAATTGGTGTCGCAATTAATTAATTAAACATTTCTGCTATTTGCAATTATATTGTTTTGAATTATGTTGCTTGAAGGTTGCGAATTTTTCTTAACAAAAGGTCATAATTTAATGCTTCTTTATGCATGGTTAATCTTTTTTGTTTTTGGTACTGCATGTCTAAAATTTATGGCAAGGTAGCTAGCTCAAGAGGAAATTAGTAATAAAAAGATAACACTTTCTCATAGTGGATGAAAGTTTGTGAATGACGTTTTTTTTTTAGTAGGCTGAAATGACATTATTTTTGGTGGACTTTGTTAATGTGTTTTCCTCCATACAGAATTGACTTCTCAATACAAAAATCAACCTATTTTAATTTTTTTGAAAAAGGGTGATATTTAAAAAAACAATATTACCGTAAAAAAGTTTTTCATCTAATGTTCACATTTCACAATGGTGTGACCGCGAAGCGTGTAAGAGAGGGACTGATTGATCATAGATTTGGCAATCTTTTCTTGATTTAAACATGCCAAAGTTTAACTGTCACTCCCAAACAAATCCAACTAGCTGCCCCCATCACATTTACTTCTTTCTCATCCCAATTCCAAATAATAATATCATAAAATATAAATAAATCAACCATATTGTTTTTTATATTTCTACCGTAACATCCGCATGCTTCTTCGTTTTATAAAATATAAAAATATGCTTTATAAATAAAGGAAAAAATGTATGTTATTTTAAATGATATACCTTATATCATTTCACTCTCATAAAAAGATGAGACCCATTAAAAAATAAAGACAAAAAAATAATAAAAGTGTGGTACCTACATCTCTTTGTGAGAATAAAATGACACAAGATCTGTCATTTAGAATAACACACTTTTTTTTCATAAATAAAACATATTTTCACAAAATTCTTCAAAATATGGATCAACTTTCTGAAAATTGAATTTAAAGAAATCCCAAATTTTACGAGGACTTGAATTCTTGAAATCGTGGTAGTCTTTGGTTGAAACTAGTTGTTAGAATGGACGTGGCTTCGGAAATCAACATACTATTAACTAATACACGGGGACAATCCATTACAGTGTTTGAATTCTCATTCCTTTAAGAAATTCAACCCTTGTTCAAAAGGGTACGTTACCCTTTTTGATCTGATTTTAAGTGTACAATCAAGTATGATTCTGAAATTCAACAATTAGTATCAAATTAAATTACGAAGTATGCATCAAATAAAATGATGAATAAATATTAAAGGACAAAATATAGAACAATATTGTTGATGATGAAATATAGAATAACAATATTTTATATACTGGACACGTTGACCACTGTGTTCCCTTTTTTGAATAAAATATACCGGAATGTCACGGGGTCACAAATTTTTTCAAAATGTCACGTTGCAAAATTTGCTACAACAACCAGTGAGTACAGTGTGATCATGTGACACGTTTCCTTTGGCCACCAAACTCGCTACTAGTTGCAGCAAGTATGATGGTCAAAGTGCTCAGTTTGTTTTCAACAACAGGACACATGACACACACCCATAAACTCTTTGTTAGTGTCAGCGAGTAGTGTACTTGCTGCAACTGACGATGAGTTTAGTTAGGTGTGTCAACCACGTGTACAATACTCGCTAGTCTGTCCAGCGAGTTTAGTCCAATATGAAATCCCCCCTTTCCCCATATCATGCATTCGTCGGTTGCAACATATATAAAGTTCCTCTGATTTCTCCCGAGTCAGTTTTCAGTGTTATTTCTTCCTGCTGTCTTTTTGTTTTAACTTTTAGAAAATGAACGATGACAAGGACTCAATAATTGCCATTGTATACTTCAATGGAAGGGGATATTTTGGTCCTAATGGTCAAGATTTTGAAGGAGATACGAAAATGCTTAGCATAAGCCCCCGATGTAGTTATAATGATCTGAAGAAGTCAATATACAAGAAGTTGAGATTACAACGGGGTCAATCTCTGTATCGGTTGACGGCTATATATGCCTCGGGTAAAGATAGTTGGGTTTCTGTAGAAATTATCGAGGATAAAGATGTCGCGTTAATAGTAGATGCATTTCAAAATGATCGAGAATCCACATTTATTGAATTGAATGCAGAAGTAGACTTCGGTGGACAGTCAAGTAGTCAGCATTCGCTCCCTTCCATTCACTTCATCAACATTAATAGGAAACCACTGGTTAATCCTGAAGATAGGTATGTGTCACCCCACCCCTACCAATGTCAATTAAAATGATTCCTGCCCAAGATGAGTATAAGCCGACGTGGAGTACGGACAGCTTCGACGAAGAGGTAGACGAAGGTGTTGTTCTGGAAAGTGATCTCATAGGACACCAAAATGTTATTTATAATTTTAATTTCAAATATAAAATAAAATATCAACTATCTTAGAGTTTGCTATCTATACTAATTCATATATCAAAAATAAAATATGTCATCTATCCCGGTATTTCATTTACTAAGCTATACTAGTAATGTATAAATAAAAAGATATAGAAACTAAACTTGTGAGAGAAACGAGAAAACCTTGAAATAGAGAGAGAAATTTTGAGAGAGATTTCAATGTGCATGCAGTCTATCAAAGTACGAAAGTCGTATATTGCTAGCAGAGAGCTCAATGGCCTCATCTAGATCATGACTAAAAACCTTGTTACACACGGTCGGCTAATCTCTAGAAGTAGGTCCGGTAACCACTTGTTCTTCAGTAGGCAATCCTAGGATAGCTGCCACGTCCTACAAGGTAATGGTCATCTTGCTCTGCTTCATGTGAAAAGTTTGTGTCTCTAGTCTCCACCTCTCGACCAAAACACTGATAAGGGCGGATTAATCTGAAATACATACTGACAATTATCAATTCATAGGTTCAAATACACTAATTTACAAAGACTATATTTAAACACACTATAATATATTACATTCTTAAATGCATACTTGAATATGTTGGATGCATGCAACATGTACGAATTTGGCCTGTGTTAGGTACTCTGCGACCACGTCTGGAATATCATCAGGAGCTACTCCCCTTGCAGTTTACCACGTCGAGTCTTCAGTGCTTGAATCTTGTCCTCGATCCACACGGCTTGTGAAACGTGTGTGTGTTGTCTTTGCCTCCAGAGTACTTCCCACTTGTACGGTCTTGGAAGCACATGTGTGGTGGGATCGGTAGGCTTAGGCTCGTGCTCAGATGCATACCGAGGAGACTCGGATGCTGAGGACTCAGCCATAATAATATACTATGAAAAACTACAAATTGATTGTTGTAATTAATTTAATTTCAAATAATTTACATGTCTAGTATAATATTTAAAAATATATTAAATTACAAATAAAAATTTATAAAATTTAATGAGCGTCACTAAGCATAATATATTCGTCATGTATGCCCTAAGTCACTATACAAATAAATTAGACTAACTACGATCAAAATTAATAGTCATCTTAAAAGTATGTATGTATGTATGTATGCATAATCTAATTTATTAAGAATGAATAGAATTTCCTATGCATATATAATAAGTTATTATAATTCTCCTAAGTCACTAATTATAACCCAAGTCACTAAGCATGTTATAAATCAGTAACCATGTCGCAAAACTATATCCTGTGTCACTCTATTCATACAATAAGTTGTTAACCATTTCTCAAGTCACTATCAATTTCCTTGGTCACTAGTATAACATATCTTTTGCTATAATTCAATAATATAGGAAACAAATATTAAGAATTACCGGACTGACAGAGCTTCGGTGCAAAAAACTCAAGGAGAAATCTAAAGAGAAGTCAAAGCAAAATCCTAGATAGAAGATAGAAAGATGACGTGAAGTGAAAAAGTGAAAAAATGAGGATATATATAAGCATACTGACTTGCGTCCAAATTGGGCGAGAGTGCTCATGCCTTTTTTAGGTGTGCTCCATGCTTGGGTGACGCCTTATTTGGGCACGAGTAGTCACGTCTATTTTGGGCGTGACTGAGTGCAATAGATCTGTAACTTAATTCCAACCTGTTCTCATTAAAATAGTAATGTTTTAATTTTTTTTAACCGATTATGTATATCTAACTTTAATATTGGCCATTGTTTCTCATGAAATTGAGGCTCGCAATGGAGACAGCGTTTGGGACTCCAGTACTATAGACTCGGAGTCAAAGCAATCAGTTGTTGTTGTGAACAGACCTATTGATTCTGAATCTATATTACCCGTGAAGTGGCTCTGATCTCTGCGGGCATACAAAATAAGAACCTTTTATGTTGACATCTAAAACGGTAATTTTGTAGGCAAACTATCTAGATCCCATCAGATTGTAATTTAATTATTGGGCCTTATGTGGTATATGCATATATTATTTTGGTTAATATATAATAATAAAATTTAGCACCTCGTACTAGGTTATTCATAATTTACAATTCCACAAGTACCAGATCTCAAGTTGACCCATATTCATATTTTAAATACATAAAAGATGCAACCCATGTAGTGCTGTTCTCTGAAGTATGGACATGTGAATTATATATAGTAATAGATCTTTGAGGATTTTATATTTTTAACGTCTACTTCCTAGGGCTGGACAGGTCTCAGATGGGTTTGCACTTGTATCGTGGGCCATATGGCCATTCCAATTTCTTGCTCAAGCTACCTTCACGAGTGACAGAAGGACGAGAGGGTGACCGAAACTGAAAACCTTTTGACTTTTATGTTCACTCGTTGGGAGATTACTTCTCCCGCAAAACTAGGATATACACTGAAATCACTAAATTGTATTGAGATTTTGCGTGATTCTTTGAAGTGCCATAAGGATAGGGTTGTAAAGAAACGTTGACAAGAGTCTGTGGTGAGACAGTACGGAGAGGCGTGAGGCCATGGTGGTGGGGCTTTGCGTTTTACTTTAGAGAATTGTATTTTTTTTTGGAACACCGACTAAAATGTCACTCCACCAAGTTTTTTATGTAAATGTCACGTAAACCATGTTATTTCCCAATCTGCCACGGGACAAGGTCGCTACATCGGGTAGCGAACTTGCCTCCGTGACAGATTGAAAAATAACACTGTTCGTGTTGCATTTAGATAAAAAATTTAATAAACAGTTACATTTTGGTTCAGTGTTCCATTTTTTTCTTATCCAATATGAAAAAATAATTCATGCCAGCCTATAATCAGTCACTACACTCTTGTCTCAAATATTAGTAATAATTTTTATTTTATTTTTTTTTGGAAAACATAATAAATTAAATTTTTTTTTTTTTTTTTGAGTTATCCAACCCTAATTACTTCTTTAAGGCGAGTTGGCTCCCTCCAGTATCTCCACAAGCTTCGACTCTTTGAGCCGGCTATGGGACTAATCCGGAGTGCGGGGTCAGTGATGACTAAAGGTTCAGCCCCCTCCCCAAGAATGCATTCAGCGAGAATCAAACACATGTCCAACCCCACTAACTCAGCGCCAAGAAACCAACTGAGCTGCACCAATGGCTAATAAATTAAATTTTAAGAATGCTGCAGATGGCTATTCGTTGCTATACCAGGGACGGAAATCTTGCAAAACATTTGAATACATGATTAAATAAATGTATTTTAATCTGAAGAGGCAATTGCTGAATCGAACCACAACTGAAATACCGAGTATCTATTTTTTTTTATTATAATGATAATATTGAAGTTTAAATTTATGACCTTATATAAATTATCTAAATTTTTAACCACTATTTTGTACATACAAAATTATATGAGGTAAAAGAATTATGTGAAAAGAAAAAAATATAAATTCCACACATGTGAAAAATATTGCACTCATAAATAAAAGTCATCGCACCATTCATATTTCATCGGATCAAGAAAAAAAAAAAAAACAATCCAATAAAAAATCATAAATTTGCTTTAAACGACAGAATGGACTGGATTCTTTGAAACAATTGCACTGCTTCTTCTGTTCTTTCTTCTCCTTTTCTTCCCGTATCAGGACTGTCCCATGTATCTGACTGACCCTTCTTTACAGTATAATCCATCCATCAATCAATCTGTATACATCAAAATAAACGGTCTCCATTCAACCAATAAATTTTCACGAATCAACAATTCAGTTTTACACTTATAAATAAGGATAATATTTCTCTAATTTAACGAGAGAGAATTTTTTTTCGTATACTCACAAGAAATATAAAGCCTATAAAGTAAGGAAAAAAAAAATTGCAGGCACGTCTTTTTACGTCTCTTGTGATATGAGATAATTATCTCTTACAATTGGAGAAAATAATTTTCTTATAAATAAATTACTCATTTTTTATTTGTTTTATTTTATCTTATATTGCATAAGAAAACAAACTCTTCCTACACATCATAAAAATGTGTGGCACTCATTTTGTTTTTGTTTTTTAACAGACAAATATTTCTAAAGTTACTGCAGATAAGTTATCTATATTTACTCTCAAAATAACTTCGTTTTGTGATTGAAATATTAAAAATTATAATTATAAAGACTATAATCACCTTGAAATAAATTGAAATTATAAAAACACTATGATTTTCGCTCCAAAACAATGTCGTATTGGGCTTACTGTAGCTAACTTATCTCCAGTAATTACAAAAAAACGAATCATTTTTTTAAATAAATGGGTCCTACACTTGATGTATCTATAACATAAGATTAGAATTCTCCTGCAACATAAGATTTATTTTTCCCTTTTTATTTTTAATGTTTCACATATTTTTAATTTTATAAAAGAAGTATATAATGTAGTGAAACTTTACTCCCATTCAAAAATAACTGCATCCTAACAATAACATAATAAATGAAAAATTATCAGATAGAGATTTAACTAACATGTAAAATCATTTGAATATTATCCGTAATTTTATTTAATTTTTATATAATAATATACAAAAATATTATTTTTAATACAAATTCATAAATGGTGTGAGCTGCTAATTTCATGATTTAATTTTTTTTACTCAAATTCTCTGATTTTTTCGCAAATTAAAATTAAATATATTTATCCCTAGAATTAGCATAATTTTTTTTAAAATAACACGACTACATAAAAAAATATAAAAAATGATAGCCAAAATAAAAGGAGAGTTTTAAAATGATATTACTTTATGAGGAGGGTTATCTTGATAAACTTATTTTTTTTTCTTATAAATTTATAAACTACGCTATGTCTTATCAATAAGACTTCACTCAAGAGTATCTTACCGGTAAGACATACTATAGTTTGTAAACAATTTTTTTTATAAATATAACATTTTTCTTGTTTTATATATATAGACATATCACATCTGTAAAACCATATTTCACGTAGTGTTTTTTTTATGGTAAAGATTTCATGTAGTGTTTGACACGATTTAAAATAACTTCATTTAAATATTTTACTATCTTTTAAGTAGTTTTTTTGTTTTTGGTATTTACTATCTAGGAAAAAATCCAAAGTAAAAGATACAGTAACAGTAAATATAGCACATTAAAATTAAGCGAAAGTGTAAAACTAAAATTAATCCATACGTTAAAAAAAAAAAAATTCAAACCAAATTTGAATCGCCTACTATTCTGAGTTAATACTTAATGGGAAAAACTATTCTTATGTTACATAAGATACATTTTCTCTCCTACACACCCTTCGATAACTGTGCCACCTTTTTTCTTTTCTTTTCTTTTCTTTTTTCAGGTGGTGGAGCCCATAAATTTATCTCTATGACATGAGATAACTATCTCCTTTAACATGAGATTAATAAAACCCATACTTAATTGCATGTGAACCCCACCCCACCTGTTGATTTGTCCTTGTGTAAAAGCATGGCATGATTATGAAGATCCGTAAGAAGTTTGTATAGCAAAATTATTTAATTCCTTTAATACAAGTCACACTCTCAGGAAGATCCAACGGCTAACATTGGTTCGAATAGTTTTGCTGAGGTCCTGAGAATGCACATGATTTGATCCTTCTTCACAAATACGATTACGGAAAATTGTTTGTCTTTTTTTTTTTTTTTAATGATACAATTTGTCATTTTACTCGTGGTTTTATTTTTTTTGTTCACTTTCTTCTTCATGATCTATCTCTTTCTTTCACTTAAAATGACATAATTTTATAACCTTTAAAATATGACACATACTTTTCCTATATTATTAATATAATTTTGCCTTCAGATACGGCCTCCAGTTCAGCTTCGTAATAGTATTTTAATATTATTTTTACATTTCTTATTGAAAAAATAAAAATATTCATAAGCTATCAATAAGCGAATAATAATTTTATTAATATTTAAAACGTAAAAAATAAACAATAAGTGACCTCGAGAACAAGGACAAGGACAAGCTCACGGCCCCGAAATTTTATACATACAAAAAAAAATAAAAAGTCCTGAGAGAAAAGTGGAATCACCCATCCGTGCGAAGATAAAAAAATAAAAAATAAAATAAAAAAAGTCCACAAGAAAAAAACAAAAATGGAAAAAGCATTTTGCAGAAAGACAAGCTCCCCCAACCAGACCATATCTTGATTGCGTTTCACAAAGCATCAATAACTCACCAAACTGTCCCCAGAACAAAAAAAAAACCCACACATTGAACAAACAAATAATAACATGAAGCTATCTGCTAAACCCATTTCTAGTCCGGGTCGAACCGACAAGTTTCCTCCTCCATTGATGAGGTTCTTGAGGAGCAATGCTGGGAGCAAGAGCAGAGGTAGGTCAAGGTCAAGCCCCATGTTTGTAAGGAAGAAAAACAACACCGCCATTGAAACCCAAGAACCCTCTTCCCCTAAGGTCACATGCATGGGCCAAGTGCGAGTTAGACGCTCCTCCAAACAACCCACCGCCAAAAGAGACAGAGCTCCGACCCGGTGCCGCTGCTGGTGGATCCGAAAACCCAACACCGTTTGGCCCAAATGGGGGTTCTTTCGGGTCGGAAGCTTTCGACGAAAAGCCACTAAGCTAAAAAAAGATTCAGTGAAATCCGAGTCAAATTTCCAGGGCAGGTCTAACGATGAAGATGAAGATGAAGAATCAGTGTACGAAGAGAGAGTTAATGCTTTTGCTTCCAACTCTTGCACGCCGCCGAGAAACGCTTTGTTATTGACAAGATGTAGATCCGCTCCATATAGATCTTCGTCTTTGGCAAGTAGGTTTTGGGGTTCGCCATTGATGAGCGAAGAAACAGAACAGAGGACAGAGCTGGAAAATTCAGAATCCACTTCCACTGACAACGAGAAACCCAGTTCGCCGAGAGAGTCAATTTCAGATCAAGAAGGGAAAAGGGACCCCGAAACGGAACCAAAGTCGAGGTTTTTCAAAGAACTTGAGGATTCACTCAGAGAAAGAATCGCCAAATCAAAAAGTGTTGAAGTTGCAGCAAGTCCTGTAGTGCTGACCAGGTGCAAATCGGAACCGGCAAGAACCGGTCATAGACTTGATCCTGAGGTAAATAATTTATTGAAAAAGAGAAGGTTGGGTCTTCACATGATTTCTGATTAATCAATTATTATCTCCATTACTTACTCAGCTTAATTCTTTTTCAACTTTTTTTGTTTTGTTTTGTTTTGTTTTGTTTCTAATTAATGTTTCCTGAGTTGAATATAGACCTCAATTTTGATATAATTGCTTGTTTTGACACCTGGAGCTGTACGAGATAATCTGTATATGTGGCTCTTTGGTAACATAAAAAGGTGTCTGTGGAATACATAGAAAGAAGGGAACATGAGAACATTGGAGTGAGTTCATACACTCTTCATGTCCTTAATGGGAATGGGTAGCTGTAGTTAATGCCTTCCTTGTCATTGCTCAAGCTTGAATTTTTTTTCCATTACTGACTCGACTTCTGCAATTTGCTTTCACGTGGTGTGGTTTTTGTTTTAGCTATAGAACTTGGTGGAGTTTAATTATCTGAAAAAAAATAGAGAGCTAAACAGCGCGTTTAAATGTGATTTATTTAATAATTTCTTTTTTAGTAAAATTAATTTCAATTATATTTCTTAAATAATTTATACTATAATCAAGTCGTAATTAAAAATAAATAAATGCAGAGATACTGTTTGGAGTCAGATTCTGAACTATTCTTTTTTATGCTGGTAAGAAGACAGCACAACGTTCATCCGAACGTGTCCAATTTCACTATTTAAGTATCATTGGATGCTCTGACCAACTTTTCACCAAGTAGGAAAAGTGCAAAGTGGAAAGTTAATGCGGGTTGTATGATTATGACTTTGAAGTGAACCTCATCTTATTTGTATAGTTGTTTCCTTATTTTAATTCTGGGACTGGGACCAATGTCAAATTCATCTTTATTCTTTAGCCATAAAAAGATAATTACAATGTATAGTTGTGCATTCTGATCACACCGTAATAAAATAAATAGTAGCTGTTTCTATGCTACTTCAATAATTAATAATTATGGAGTAGAAAAATTAATATTTATTATGTTATATACATAAATTTCATTATGATAACATTTGTT